AAAAAAAAAAAAAAAAAAAAAAAAAAAAGGAATACTACAACAATGAACCATGCTAAGTGAAAGAAGCCAGACAGGAAAATGACAATGTATGTCCAGAAGAAATGCCCAAAAAGGCAAATCTATGGAGAGAGAAAGTAGATGAGTGGTTGTGACTAGAGGTGAGGTTGGAAGTGACTCCAAATGCACCCAAGGAATCCCTTTTGAGTGACAGAAATATTCTAAAATTGGATTGTGGTGATAGTTGCACAACTCTATTAAATTTGCTAAAATTAATTGAATTGTACACTTAAAGCGTGTGAATTTTATGGTATGTAAATTATACCTCAATAAAACTGTTAAAAAATCTGTATGAGCTCATATGGAAAGATGGCACACAAACTGAAAAAAGCTAGATGCACAACAGTGTGTATAAAAATAGATGTGCAAAGAGATTATTTCTGTAAAGATATCCAAGTACCAGTAAACAGTGGTTGTTCCTGAGAGACAGCTTGGAGATCTGATCTGGTATGGGTGGGAGATTTTTCTTTGCATATGCCCAAAGCATAGCATAAAAAAAATTTAAAAATATATACTCATATTACTTTTTCAATTTAAAAATAAATTTAGGCTGAGCACAGTGGCTCACGCCTGTAATCCTAGCATTTTGGAAGGCCAAGGCAGGAGGATCACTTGAGGCCAGGAGTTCAAGACCAGCCTGAGCAATCTAGCGAGATCCCATCTCTACAAAAAATTTAAAAAACAGCCTGGTGTGGCGGGCACATCTGTAGTCCTAGCTACTCCTAGCTACTTGGGAGGCTGAGGCAGGAGGACTGCTTGAGCCTGGGAGTTCAAGGCTGCAGTGAGCTGTGATTGTATCACTGCACTCCAGCCTGGGTGACAGAGTAAGACCCTGTCTCTAAAAAAAAATCATAATAAAAATAAAACTCAAAATGAAAATACATATATACACATCCATGTTTAACAAAGAAGAACAAGGAGGATATAAACCTCAAAGAGTTAATAGTAATTTACCTTTTGTTCTTTACTTTTGGGAATTCTCTAATTTTTCTTACAGTAAGTGTGCATTACTTTTTGTTTTTAAGTTTGAAAAACAGGCCACGCTTGGTAGCTCACGCCTGTTATCCTAGCACTCTGGGAGGATTGCTTAAGGCCAGGAGTTCAAGATCAGCCTGAGCAAGAGCGAGACCCCATCTTTACAAAAAATAAGAAAAATTAGCTGGGCATGATGGTGTGTGCCTTAGTCACAGTTACTGTGGAGGCTGAGGCTGGAGAATTGCTTGAGCCCAGGAGTTTGAGGTTGCTGTGAGCTGAGCTATGATGATGCCACTCTAGCCTGGATGATAGAGCAAGACTCTGTCTCAAAAAAAAAAAAAAGTTTAAAAATAAAATAGAGATAATGACCCGTATTTTGCCTACTCATGGGAGTGTTGTGAGGATTATATTTGTATATGGAAATCTAAGCAAGACCTCCAACCTACAGGAAAGGACCCTAGTCACAACTCATCTGGGGCTTTTCCTGGGCCACTAGGAAAGAGGCAAGGTAAGAAATCTCCCCCAGTATGGTTCATGCCTGAAATCCCAGCCTGAGCAACAAGTGAGACCCTTTCTCTAAAAAAAAAAAAAAAAAAAAAAAAAAATGGAGAGACTCAGTGAGTGTTTTTTTTGTTTATTTGTTTGTTTTGGTAAGGTTTGGGAGCTTCTGTACTCCGTATTTCATCATATATGAGATGTCAACAATTGTAAAATCACTATTATTTTATGCTTTTCCAAGAGAGAAAAAATAAACTGTGACACACCTTCAAATTATACATTTGAGTTTCTGAGATGTTAAGTCTGAGAAAATGTTTATACTGAAATAACTGAAACACAGTATAGTAGCTGCACGTTTCTTCTTCTTAGATGAGGAGACAACCTTACCAACACCATTCTTCTTGTCACTCGGCCTCAGACCTGAAGCCTTCCTTCCCTTAAATGCTTCTTCATGCTCATTCTTTTTTTTTTTGAGACAGAGTCTCGCTTTGTTGCCCAGGCTAGAGTGAGTGCCGTGGCATCAGCATAGCTCACAGCAACCTCAAACTCCTGGGCTCAAGCGATCCTTCTGCCTCAGCCTCCTGAGTAGCTGGGACTACAGGCATGCGCCACCATGCCCGGCTAATTTTTCTATATGTATTAGTTGGCCAATTAATTTCTTTCTATTTATAGTAGAGAGGGGTCTTGCTCTTGCTCAGGCTGGTTACGAACTCCTGACCTCGAGCAATCCGCCTGCCTCGGCCTCCCAGAGTGCTAGGATTACAGGCGTGAGCCACCTCGCCCGGCCTCATGCTCATTCTTTGACCAGTCAGCAAGTCCTGCCTTTGCTGCTGCTGCTACTTGCCTCTTGACCGCTCACCTGGACCACTGCACTAGCCTCCTAAGCAGCCTGCTAGTCTGACACGCCTCCAATCCATTATTCATGCGGCAGTCGGAGTGCTCTTTCTAAAGCTCTGCTCTTCTAACATTTCCCTTGGCCGCTCTACCCACAGGGTGAGGTCTGTTTTAGCATTTGGCTTTTCACGACCCGGGCTCTGCCTGCCATGTTAGTCTCTTCCTCCAAATGAAATTACTGGCTGCTTCCCGCAAGCACCATGTTTTCAGGCCTCCGGGCCTTTGCATCAGCCGTTTTGTATGCTTGGACTGCTCTTCCTTAACAGGCATTTATTGAAGGTTAGTAGGCGCCTGCAGCTGAGAAGGAGGGGTGGGCAAGGCAGGCCCCAGCCCAATTCTCAGAGAGGCTGATGGGAGATAAAGACAAACAAAAACTTAAGCATCTACGGTAATTATTATTTATAAACACACATGGTGGACATTCGTAAAGGTTTACTGAAGATGTCAACCACGGCCTCAGAAAGTTTAGGACTAGACTTGGGCCCGGGAGGCAGTGTAAAGCGGATTGGAATCCTGGATATCCTAGTGACTTTGGGCAACTGACATTGGGAGTCTTCACTTCTGTGTAACGGCAGTAAAAATGCCCGCCCCATAAGACTTCGGGAGGGTTTAGCAAGAGATACATATAATCACGCGGCTTCCGCGGGCCGAGGAGCCCCTCCCCGGGCGCCCGGGGTCCGCCCGCCCGCAGGGGCCCGGGCGCCGGCGCGCACGTACCTGGCCCGCCAGCAGCCGACCGCGGGCCCAGACCGCAGCCGCCAGGGGCAGGGGGCGCCGGACGCCGAGAGAGGGGAGCATCGCTCCGCCCCATCGCCCCACTTTGGGGGACAGCCCCCTCGCTCATTCCCGCCCCCGCCCTTGAATCACGGGGGGGCGGGGCCGTGACCCATTCATGCCGGGAATCGGATCCAGATGTTCCCGGGCGCGTGCAGCTGCATCCTTGCCTTTTTTGGCAAAAAACGTGCGGCCGAGAGCGGATCCCGGGCCGCCCCCGCTAATCCTCGGGAAGAGGGGGAAGGGGGCTGGGGGTCTGGCCCCACACTGGCGATCGGAACTGGGTGCTTGCTCTGCGGGATTTGGGCAGGTCTGCCAAGGGAGGGTGTGATTTGTACCAGGGGAAGGAACTCCACCATCACCCCTGCTCCCGTCTGGAACCTCTCCTAAACCTCTCCCTTCCCCACACGAAGGAAAAAGCCCTCTGCCAGCAGGGGCAAGGCAAGCCAAGAGGGACAGTAGCTGTGGCGGGGATCCCCTTTCTGGGGAGAGAATTCCCACCCCATGGCCTGCCCCCCTTCACCCCACCCTGCAGGGAGGACGTCTAGAATAGGCTCAGTGTCTCCCAGTCTGTGAAGGAACCTTCCTTCCCCCTCTACAGCCTGGACACACGCACACACAGGCCTGTGCTTCCTCACTCTGCTTTATTGAAGAATCTGGAAGAGGGGCAAGCCAATCCCACCCCTCTGACCATCTCTGGGCAAAATGGAGCTGAAATAAAACAAGACACTCAATGGACAGGGGCTGGGCAACAACCTGTACCCCAAGACCCCCTATCAAGTCCCTGACCTGCTGCTCAAAGAGCCCCAGCCCTGGGGGTAGGGATGGGTCCTACCTGAGCCTGAGCATAGTCCATTCATGAGGACTTCTCAGGCACCCTCAGGACACCTAAAATCTATTAAAAGGAGTCTAGATTTAAGGGGATCTAGGTCCCAGAGTCCAGGTTTGGAGGGCTGGGGTCTGGAGCCCTGATCTGGGGTGAGGGCTGAGTTCTGGAATCCACGTTTAGGGAGGGGGCTTGAGTCATGGAGGCTCTCCAAGAGCCCAGGTTTGGGGGCCTGAGTCAGGGAGTACCAGTTTGGGGATGTTAGAGTGGGGAGACCGAATCCTGGAGCCCAGGGGGAGACCCATTGTGGGGAGGGGCTGGGTCCCACCAATGGTTTAGAAAAGGAGCCGTGGTCCTGGCGCCCTGGTGTGGGAAAGCCTGGGCCCAGGAGCCCTGGCTCAGGGTCCTGCCTGGCTGCAGCCCTGGCACAGCACTTGGTCTCCATCTGGCACAAAGCCTTGGCCCACCAGGGATGTGGAGCAGCGGGCACAGGAGAAGCAGCCGTGGTGCCAGTGTCGGTCTTCAAAGGACACGTACTTGCCTCCACCGAGTCCTGGAGGGAGGCTGGAGGTTAGCTCTGCAGATCTGGGGGTGGTCCTGCCCCCACCCAATACATCCCACTCCCTTGCCTGCACCCTGCCCACTCCATTCTTTGACCCTTGTCCCACCTACGATGGGGCTCTTGCAGCTGCTGCACTTAGGTGCAAAGAGTTCTCCAAAACAGGACACACAGTAAGGATCTTCATCCCGGGAGGTGAACTGCTGCCCTGCCAGGGGCTTCTGGCACCCAGTGCAGACCAGACATTCTCGATGCCAGGGCTGATCACGGTATGTCACTCCACCCTGTGTCAGCGTCTGTGGGGGCAGCATCCATCAGCAGGGGTCAGTGGGGATTCCCACCCCACAACAAACCTTGCTCATCCCCCCCCCCACTGGCCCGGCCCCCACCTTGCTGCAGCGGGCGCAGCGAGGAGCAAACTTGTCCTCATAGCAGGGCACGCAGTAGTAAGCACCCTTGTCGGGCACAAAAGAACAGGAGCCCAGTGGCTGTTCACAGCCGCTGCACAGGAAGCAGTACTCATGCCATGTCTGGCCTCCATATTCCAGCTTCCGAGACCCTGTGGGGAACAGGGGGCCCACTCAGATGCTGTGTCACAAGCACCTGAGGGCCACCTCTGTTACTTCTCCAGGAGAGTCCCCACTGCTCCCATAGCCTGAGCAGGGCGGTGTCCATGCACATGCAGCAAGACCCCTGTCACATAAATTACACATGCTAACCTCTCCCCAAACACACATCAAGCCTCCATGTAATAGTCATGATGTCTTAGTATATGCTGAGCCCTTATACACCAGACATGATGGTTTTAGCACATTCACAAGACCCCACATATACCAGGCAAGCAAATATCTGCCCACACAAAGTTCTAATGCCCTGAGTATGCCAGGTTTAGTACATGCTTAGCCTGCACATCTCCTAGGTATATTATTTTCCATGTATGCTAAGTCCTCACATTTCTATTAGTCATGCAGGTCTCCATACATGTTAAACCCTCTATTTATCCATCTCTGCACACATTAAACTCCAAGACACCAAGCATGACAGTCTCAGCACACCCTTAGCTCCTACATGTACCAAACATGCAACCTTCATACATGCTAAGTCCCCAGGTATGTATCAAGCATGTCAGCTACTCACATATGGTAAGTCCCCATGTGTCTACCAGGCCTACTGGTTCAGCACACACTAAGTTCTCAGGAGAATATTAAGCTTGTCAGTTTCTGCACATGCTAAGCATTCATGTGTACATGAATGCTCAGTTTCTGTACATGCTAAGCATTCATGTGTACCTGGGCATGCCAATCCCTGTACATGCTAACCTCATAAGAGCATACAGGCGTGACAGATCCTGCATATACTAAATTTCCAGAAACATGCTGTATGTACAGGTCTTTACACATACCAAGTCTCCACATATAAGACAGGCACATGCAAGGACCCCCACACAGATGCCAAACATGCCAGTCCCCCCACAGGACGAGCCCCTGGAGATGTACCAGGCATGACGGTCTCTCCGCAGGCAGAGCACTGTGAGGAGAAGGCACTGCAGTAGCAGTCGTTGCAGAGCAGCTCACTGTCCTGGCAAGTGAAGGGTTCATCAGCTAAGGAGCGCTGGCAGCGACAGCAGCGGAAGCAGCCCTCGTGGAAGTGGCGGTCTTCATAGAACAGCTCCTGCAGGGAGCATAATAGGGGCACTGCCACCAGGGCCTGGTGGATCCATCCTCTGCCCCCTCGCACCAGCCTCCACCCACTCCCTGCCCTGCCTGGTCTTATTCTTACCCTTGAGTCATGACCAATAAGCTGCTTGCACTCAGCACAGGTGTTGGCGAAGGTGTTGTCATAGCAGGGCACACAGTAGGGGCCGCTGTCTGTCTGGATGTACTTGCGGCCAAACAGGGCCTCACTGCATTTTGCGCAGTCAAATGCCTCGCTCATGATGGTGATGTGAGGGAGCCCTGTTAGAAGAACAGGTGGGGTAGGGGTCATACAGAGGGGCTGTGGCTTAGCCCCTGGCAAGAAAGCAGGCATGGGAAATGCCAGATCAGAACAGGTGGGGATGGGGAAGAGGTGCTTCTGGGAACCCAGGAGTCCTGCATGTTTATTTCTGTATTAAATGATGGGGGTAGGATAGGGTCAGGAAAAAATCAGGAAGCAGAAGTTGTTTTCTTATCTAGGTTCTGGCAGATCTGGGGGGAGGGGGCTTTTCCTGGGTCAGTGACTCATTTCCTGCCCCAGTCTGAGTTTAGCCTCCCCTGTCCCTACTGTCCCCAAGGTGGTAGAAGCAGGGGGCAGGGAGCCACCCCACCCTACCCTACTCCCTGTGATCAGTAATCCCACCCTCTCCTGACTCCCAGGAAGGGACTCCAGGAATATGGATAAAGGAACCTTTACCCAGAGCTCTGGAATGGGGAACTTAGGGATGGCAACGGGCTATTCCCGCCCACTCCTGATCCAGGAAACAGTGGAATGCTAGAGGGATGCTGAGCTGATGAATGGTGGAGGGGGCCAGTGTGAGAAGTCGGGCCTTCCCTCCCAGGAGACTCAGCCAAGCAACAAGAACTTCAGAGGCTCAGCCTAGGTTCAAGCAGGAAGGAAATCCTGCAAGCTGGACACAGCCAAGCTTCCCCAGCTGGACCCTCTGCCCTCATCCCCCCTTCACCCCCGCCGTGTCTCTGGTCACACCAGCCTGGGCAGCCTAGGCCTACAACATCTGCAGCAGCTGTGGCAGCACAGATGGCCTGATGTCAGGTTTCGCCAGCAATAGGGGAGAAAAAAAGAAAATGAGATGCCTGAGGAGGCAAAGGGGAACTGAAGACAGACTTTGAGAGCAAGCGCAGTGTGCCCCTGCCATGCCCCCACCCCCGCCAGGCATCACTCCTGGCAGCGGCAAAGCCTCAGCATATTTCCATCCTGGGTCATTATTTCCCGCCCCCTGCCTCTCCCCACCTTTTCTGATTTCTCAGTGTTTTGGACCAGAGAAGTGAAGGCAGAGAGAGAGCAAGAGCCACTGAAGACAATTTCTCCCCAATGAGGCCCCCTCTTGGGTGGGGAATAAGACAGGGGGGAGCCCTGAAAGCCGCTGCTGCAGACAGCCAGCCCCCCACCAAACCTCAGACACTTTCCATTTTCTCAGGAACAAAGCATGTTTGCGGGATGAGGTCATCCACACAGCTGCCTCTGGAACAGGAGCCTGGGGAGTGCGGCAGTAGGGAAGTGGGGTTCCCAGACCTTCCTGCTGCTCTGCTTCAGTCTCTGGCCCCAAAGTCATAGCTTCCCAACCCTGCTCTCCTCCCCCATGAAGCCTGTCCTCTAGGGGCTAGGACCCTGGGGTGGTGGAGAGGAAACACCAGGACTCATAGGAAGGGGATGTCCTCACAGCTGCAGATGAGCCTGGGGAAGTTAAAGGGACATACAAAACCCCCACCAAACCACTCCCCCAGTTAGACCTCAGAGACTGGCAGTTCCCTAGAGCTTGCCCTAGCTCAAGTTGAAGGAAAAGTCTTCCTTTCTCAGCCACCCCCAGTAGGAAATTCTGGACAACATGTGTTGCTCTGGCTTGAAATTCAGACTCCAGGCTCCTTGGAGGCATGGCTAGTGAGTTCAAGGCTGCCCTTCAGTACGATGGGAGGCCACCAGAAGCTGGGGTCTTTAGAGCCAGGACTCCGGGGGTGGGAGCCATGCTGTAGGGTGGAGGATACCCCTCCTTCCCAGTCCCTTCCCCACCACTCAGGCCAGGTTTCCTCTGGCCCAACATCTGAGGATTGCCTGGGCTGTCAGCCATTGGGCAGCAGGGGGCCACACAGGTGGAATGTGTTCATCGGGGGTGCCCAGGGCCTTCCCCTTCCTTCCTGGCTTGGCTCACAGCCGCCACCACCTTTCCAGGCCCAGGCTAGCCCTGGGTCCACCCCCTGGGAGGCAGTCACCACTCTGAAACAGGGGCACCCCAAATAGGGTATGGCTTCCATCTCTTTCCCAGAATCCCCCAATGCCTTAGTCTCTCCAGCTGGGCTCTGGCGAGGGCAGAGTAAAGGGCACCATCAAGGCCCACCTGTCTCTGCCCATCCCTCCCTCCCCCTCTTCCTCCCCTGTTCCCTGGAAGAGCCAGCCTCATATTCCTCCCTGGCTGGCAGAGGGAGTTTGGGAGAGCTCTGTCTTGTAGATGGCTCTCATCCCCTGCCCTCCCCTCCAGGCCCCCAAAAGGCACCTTCCAGTAAACCTTCTGGAGCTCAGTATGGCTGGATAAGTGGCTGTGGTGTGCGATGTGCAGAGGCTTGTGCCCTGAAATATAAACCTGGGTTTGAATCCCAGCTCCTTTACTTACTACCCAGGTGGTGTGACCCTGGGCAAGTCACTTAAGCCTCCTAAGCCTGTTTTTCCAACTAATTAAATGAGATACTACTACCTCCTACCTCCTATGGCTGTTGGCAGGCTTAAATGTAACAATACTTGGAAAGCACTGGCGGATAATAAGTGCTCAGTAAATGGTAGCTATTAATATTTTCACTATCAGCTCCTCACTCACACTGGAGGCCAGACAGCAACTTCTCCAGCAGGCCTGGGTTAGGGAGCTGGCCTGGCACTTGACCTGGACGTTCTTAGCGTAGGCTCAGGGAGAGAACAGGAGACTCCAGGCCTGTGGGACTCCCTGTGGAGACCACTGGGACCAGTGGTTGCTCTGGCCCAGTCAGCCCGACTCCAGTGAGCATAACTCTGAGACCCTTCACACAGGTACACAGGTGTACACACCTGCATGCTGTTTTGCTCCTCACAAAATACATTCTCACCATCTCATCACCAGGCAAGATAGAGTATCAACCCCATTTTACAGCTGAGCACAAGGAGGCCAGGGACAGGGCAGGGGCATGCCCAAGGTCACTCAGGTATCAGAGCCCAGGTCCCCTGACTCCCCCAGAAATGCTGCCGGGGTGATGGAGGGGGTAGTCAGCTAAGGGCAGGGGGACAGGAGGTGCACCAGAGCCTGGCTCTTCTCCCCAGCTGTTGGCCCTGTGATTGGAAGCCACCCAGAAGCCTTTCCAGTTACCCCTGCCAGCAGTCAACCCTTCTACCACCTCCCAACACGCTCCGCTGTCCAGGAGCACCCTGGCCAGGCCCCCACAGCTGTGAGTCAGGATCAGAACAGACCCCTCCCCCACCTCCCAGGAGTTGACAGGAGACTTAGGGGGAGAAACTGAACTCCTCCCCGCCCCCCACTAGGCACCAACCCCAAACTCTGTGCTCTCCCCAGGGCCTGGAAGTTAGTGCAGCTTAGGGGAAAGGGGGTGGGGAGCAGGATCCCACAGCTGCTCTGGGGACAGGAGAGGAACAGTTCATTCACCCCGGGTCCCCCAGGGCTGAGGCAGCGCGTCCAAGATTTGAGTTTAAAAATAAGTTGGTGCTGTATCAGTGGCTGTGAGCCCACACAAGACTCCTTCTTCATCCCGATCTTACTGTCACAGGTCCTCTGCCCCATGGGGGATCTGTTGGCTTAGAGTTTCTGTTTCCCCACAGCCTTGCTTCCCAACGTTTTGGGCCTGGGTCTCCCAGAGCTTGTCTGGGAAGCTGTCAACCCCCCTAGGTCTCGCTGCCTCCTTGATTAAGTCACAGCCTCTGATGCCTAGCTCTGCTCCCCTGGGCCCTCTCTGTGTCCCCACACATTTCTGCTGCTGTCCTGGGTTTGGGGCAGCTCTGTATCTCTGACTGGCTATCCCCCAGTGGGGCCCCTGCCTCTGCGGTCTCTGCCTTAGTGGCCAAGTCTTGGTCTCTCAGTGCCTTTGTACCACTGAATGTCTCCGACTGACCCCCTACCATTTCTCTGTCTCTTCAGCCAAGCCTCTGTCTCTTAGCATCTCTGCATGGCTCAGTGTCTCTGTCTCTAGTCTCTGAATGTCTCTGCAGGCCTCAGAGAGGTACATTTAGCATGAGGCTATTGAAGCTCAAGCTTCAGGGCCCCAGCAATGTGTTCACTGGGTCATACGTTGCTTTTTCTGAAAATGCTCCACAAAGCCTGGGTCCGCCCCTGCGCCTCGGGTCTGTCGCTCGGTAACTCTGTAAGCAAGCCCAGTCTGTCCTTATTTCAATGATCTCGGCAGCCTGCTGTCGTTCCTGTCCCCGCCTGTCTCGGACTCTCGCTACACCCGGCTTCTGAGAGCCTCAGTTTCTCCAACGCTCCTGGTCCGTCTGTCTGTCTCTGGCTTTTCTGTTTCAAACTTGGCCCCCTCCCCCGCCCACCTCTCGCGGCGGCCCCTGCCCCGCCAGGCAGCCCGGAGCGGGAGCGGTGCAGTCCGGGCGGGCGCTCTCCCGGGCTCAGCGCGCCCCGGGCGCCGGGACCGGGCAGGGACAGGGGCTGGGGGCTGCGGCCGCCCTCCGCCCTAAACGAGCCTCCTGCGCTCCCCGCCCGCGCTCGGGTTTGGGCAGCTGGGGCTCGGGGCCGGCGTCCGCGGGGCGCTCACCTCGAAGCGGGAGGCAGGAGCGGGGCGCGCGGCGCGGGTGGGCCGGACAGCGGGCTCCAGGTCCCTCGGCGGCTCCTACCTGCGGGCCGGGCAGAGCGGGGGCCGCGCAAGCTGCAGGCTAGGCTGCCGGCTGCAGACGGACTGTGTGGGCGAGTGGGAGCGCGGCCCCAACCCCTCCCCGAGGAAGTGAGCGCGGGGGCCCGCCCCGCCCGGCCCCCGCCCCCCAGCCCGCAGGCGGGGGCCAGACCCCGCCCCCACCTCCCCTTCTGAAGCCAGCCAGCCCCAGCCCCCTTCCTCCCGCCCGGCCTAACCTGGCTCTCCCAACCTGGCCCCGCGGCCAGGACCCCGCCCCTTCCCCCTCCCTGCAGCCTTTGCTGTCCTCTCTGCCCTCATCCCCAACCCCCAGCTGCAAGAGGGAGGTATTCAGTTTTAGGTAACGGGTACACTTGGGGACCAAGAGTCCTCATGTCTCCTTGTGCTCCCCCCTGCCCCCCACCCAGTGTACCCCTGGGGGTCACTCAGCCTGAGTTTGTGAAGGAGGCCTTAATCCAGCTTGAGGAGTGGGTGCTTTTGACTCTACTGTCATGGCCCTGTCAGTGGAGACCAAGGTGTTCTCTCAAAACATGGGGTGAAGAAAGGACCCCTCCCCACCATAGGGTCTTGACCTTTAAAGGGCATTATCCCCCAACTCCCAGTGGCAAAACCAGAGGTAACTACCTCCCCAACTCCAGCTGCACCCTGACACTGAGAAGTCCTGCCTCGCCTTGGTTTCCACAGTGCCCAGGAATAGTTTTGACCTTTGACGCCCAGGGGAGATCCTAATTCTTGGCCCTGTGATTGTTTGGCTTCTGGGGAGGAGTGTGAGTGGACAGGGTGCTACTGTAAGGGTGATGGAGGAGAGGGGAGGGGACCTCTGCATTGTCTGACCCTCTGGCTTCCTCCCTGTGCCCAAGAGGGAAGAGGGAAGACTGGCGCCAGCCAGGGACATGAGGCCCCTCCAGGTCCTTGAGGCCACCCCCCCTGGGATCCTCAGGCTTGTCACTAGGAATAAATAGCCTGGTCTGGATGCATGGGGGAGGGAGGGAGGAGGCTCTACTGGGCTGTTTGCAAAATAAGAGACAAACCAACCCTGGATAACCTTAGCATCTAGAGTGAAGATTCAGGTGCCTACAGAGGCTTCCCCATATTCCAGGCTGGATCCAAACTCTCCCAGGCTGGGGGTCCTGAGGACCCTTCCCTCCCATCTCTGCATCATATGCCTGGGTTCCTGGGTCCCAAGTCACCCTTGAGGCCAGGTTTCCTTTTGAAATTAAATAAGTGCTTGTTTATTATTGTTGGTGCCTACATGGTAAGAACCATGAGGGTAGGGGCTGGGTCCTTTTTGTTCACACCTGCACTTATTCCAGTGCCTGGTGCATAATAAATATCTGATGAATGAATGACAGATACTGCTTCAATTTGGACCCCTCTCCCACCTACCCCCACCTGAATTTGGACCACAGGTACCTGCTATCTGGAGTCTAGGGAGTGAGCAGCCAATCCATGGTTGGCCCTTTCACTGGGATTTGTCTTGCAGGTGTAAGGGACTTCCAGCTCTGGGGGGTGCAGGGAAGACTACTTTGTCTGCTTGGAGCAGACAGCAAGAGGAGGTCTGTTCTGGGGTAAGGGCAAGGTGAAGGTAAGGAGCTTTCAGAAAGGAATAGGTTATGAACGAGTAAAGAAGGTGCAGGACAAAGGGCAGAGTGTTTGGATCTCTGTTCTTTACTCATGGCTATATCTCTTCTGAATAACCCTAATGTGAGCCAGTACTTCCTGAGTTCTTACTTTGCACCAGTCCCTAAACATTTTACATGTGTCAACACATTTGATTATCCAACAAACTTATTAAATAAATTTATTATCCCCATTTTAGAGATGAAAAATGGAGGCACAGAGAGATTAGTAACCTGCCAAGAGTGACACAGCCAACAATGGCAAAGCTAGGATTCAAATCTAGTCAAAAGTCAAAGTCTTTTATGACAAAAATGAGTTTAACCATAAGGCTGTACAGCATCTGTAGTAATTTAACCTCTGTAAACCTCATCTGTGAAGAGTGGATGACTGTCTCAGAGCATTGTTGTGAGGACTGGATGAGAGCATGCAATAGGTCATCAATATGTGGGGACACTCCCCTCCCTTTCATAGTCAAGTTTTATAGTTCTGCTGTCTGGACTTGGACTCTAGGGGCCAGAGAAAGTTAGCTCTCTGGCTTGGGTCAGCCTAGGGGTGAGCCCCCCATAGGAAAGCTGTGTCCTTTCCCCTCTCCATTTCCAGCTCCCCAGTGGGCTCACATTTCTCTGCTTGCTCTATTTTGGCTCAGGAGGACATGTCCAGGGAAGTCCAGGATCAGCCACAGGGACTCCATGTTCCTGTTCCCCATCTGTCCTCCCCCGCCCTCCCTGGGAAACAGGTGTGTCTGAGCTAGGGCTGGAACCAGAGCCTGAGTGTTGGATGACTTGCCTTGGGTGAGTGGGATCTAGTTATCCCTCCACTATTTAGGAGGTCCCCACACAACCTTCCTAACTTGTGCTCAGGGTCCTCTGTCTTTTCTCTCACCTTGCAAGGATTTTTGAGAGAAGGCTCTGGGTGACTACTGACAGGCCTGTCATGGCTTCCTCTGGGTGCTGAATCACTCTCTGATGCTTGTAACCACAAGCCCTCCTTCCCCCTAGTGAGAACACGTCCTTCCTTCTCTGGGTGTATTGCTCACTCTTCCCACTGGCTGCCTAGAGCCCTTGCAGGCATCCAGGCTTAGCAGATACCCTCTTTCTAATTGTCCAGAAGCTTTCCTCGTGACTCTAAGCCTGATGATGGATTTTTGAGTGGAGAGGGTGACATGGGTGACTTTCACAGAGCATGGGGGAAGTGGAGAGGGAGGGCAGAGGGAGAACTAACATGGTTAAACGCTGACTTTGTGCAGGGCACCATGTTAAGTGCTAGTCATTACCTCTTTCAGTTCTCACAAACAACATATGAGGTGGTTATTATTATTAGCACCATTTTATATAGAAGGACATGAAGCTCGGGGAGTTTGACAATGTGGCCCCAAATCACAAGCCAATAGGTGGTAGATGTACAATTCAAATTCAGGGTCCTCCCACCTTCAGTGTACAGAGCTAGCTTCTCCTGGTGTGCTGGTCACTCAATCCCTTTTTCAGTGGAAGTGGCAGGAGTGGCTAGAGTTGCCACCTGGTCACCCTGATAGCTGGGCTTTTTAATCAAAATGAGGCTGGAAAGGTTGGCATGAGAGGTCTTGTCTTTCAACGGTAAGTGACAAATGAGATGGAATTTTGTTAATGCATATTGTTAAGACTCAAGCTCATACTTTAAGTTCCTTCTTGCCTACTAGTCAACTGGATGGACACTTCTCCGGACTGAAGAGAATTTACCCAGAGCTCCTCAGCTGGAGGGCTAACCCCTGTCTTAAGAAACGGGTGCAGGCCGGGCGTGGTGGCTCACGCCTGTAATCCTAGCTCTCTGGGAGGCGGAGGCGGGCGGATTGCTCAAGGTCCGGAGTTCGAAGCCAGCCTGAGCAAGAGCGAGACCCCGTCTCTACTATAAATACAAAGAAATTAATTGGCTAACTAATATATATATATATATAAAATTAGCCGGGCATGGTGGCGCATGCCTGTAGTCCCAGCTACTTGGGAGGCTGAGGAAAGGGATTCTTGGCAGGAGATTGAGGTTGCTGTGAGCTAGGCTGACGCCATGGCACTCACTCTAGCCTAGGCAACAGAGCGAGACTGTCTCAAAAAAAAAAAAAAAAAAGAAACGGTGCAGATTACAGAACCCGTTTCACATGATGGAAAAGAAACCACAATGCCTCTGGAATACTCTATATACCCAACCTCTCTCTAGACATAGAGGCAGGTTTAGTAATAATAAAAATAACAATAATAGCTCCATTTTATTGTAAACTTCCTAATAGGTGAACACAGCATTAAGTACTTTATTTATTTATTTGAGATGGAGTCTCGCTCTGTCACCTGGGTTAGAGTGCCGTGGCATCAGCCTAGCTCACAGCAACCTCAAACTCCCCGGCCCAAGCAATGCTCCTGCCTCAGCCTCCTGAGTAGCTGAGATTACAGGCGCACACCACCATGCCCAGCTAAGTTTTCTATTTTTAGTAGCGATGGGGTCTCCCTCTTGCTTAGGCTGGTCTTGAACTTCTGATCTCAAGCAGTCCTTCCGCCTCAGCCTCTCAGAATGCTAGAATTACAGGTGTGAGCCACTTCATCCGGCCTAGAATTAAAGCACTTCAAACATTATTTCATTTAATCCTCACAACAGTTCTCTGGGTATAGTATTATAACCTCCAGATGGGGAGATGGAGGCTCAGTGAATCTAACTTTACTTTAGCTGGAGCCAAGTTAGGATCAGACACACACTTCACGGGTCACGGTCTTAATCATTTCGTTGTACCACCTCTGACACTCATATTGTCAGCCAGCGAGGACTCGAGGGATCAGAACTTTGTTAACTACTCCATTAGGGTGATCACCTTCTATTCTGCTTACACGATATGACTCCTCAACTCGACTGTGAGCCCTTGACAGCCCTGTGAGGGAAGAAGTGAATCTTATTATATCCTCATTATGGGTGAGAAAAATTTGCTCATTCAAGTCCAGAAACCTGCCAAAAGATCACACAGCCATTAAGTACGTGGCAGAGCCAGATTTGTTTTTTTTTAATATATTTTTATTTTTTGAGACAGAGTCTCGCTTTGTTGCCCAGGCTAGAGCGAGTGCCATGGCGTCAGCCTAGCTCACGCAACCTCAAACTCTTGGGCTCAAGCGATCTCCTGCTCATGCCTCCCCGAGTGCTGGGGACTACAGGCTTGCCACGCATGCCCGGCTAATTTTTTCTATATATATTAGTTGGCCAATTACTTTCTTTCTATTTATAGTAGAGACAGGGTCTTGCTCTTGCTCAGGCTGGTTTCGACCTCGAGCAATCCTCCCGCCTCGGCCTCCCAGAGTGCTAGGATTATAGGCGTGAGCCACCACGCCTGGCCCAGATTTGGTTTTAAAGTCTCTTGACTCTCTACATAATACTCTTTCTTATTGTGGGAGAGCAAAAAATAGAAGGAGCAGATAATCAAAGCTTATATAGCATCCTAAGCTACAGAAAATAATAGGGGTGTGGAGCTTCTTGGGGGTGGTGGCAACAATGTAAGTTATGGGAAGGGAAGGTAATGTATGGTGAATAAAGGTTGTCTTATTATGCAGATAGAGTCTCTCAGGTAGTAAAAGTTGTTAGCCCTTTTCCTGATACAGATATTTTATTAATAATATAGATTTCCTTTATCTTTTATAGGATGTAAATTTGTTTTACAAAAGGACAGCATTTCAGAGCTACTCCCATGTCTACAGTTTCTCAGAATAACCAGCTGAAAATATGCCAAAGAAGTACCTTTTTGGGTGGTACAATCTGGTCCCCTACAGTCACATTTTAGGGTGGTGTGTCCTGAGCCCCAACACTGTTGAGCCTGTGAATACTGTGAGTATTCACAGGCTCCTAGCTTTGCACGTAAACACGGCAACTGGTGCCGAGGACTAAGTGACTGCACATGCGCATACTCCAAGCTCAGGAGGAGGGGGCAGCGCCAGCCACGTGTTCCCAGGTGCCCACGCAGGCCGCGCGCGAAGGCAAGATCGCAGTAGCGTGGACAGGCTCTGGCAAATGAGAACGGCAACTTGTAGAGTCACGAGATTAGATCTAGGAAACTACACTTCCCAGGAGCAGCCTGCGATGGCCGCCTTCGTTAGAGGACGTATTTCCGGAAAGGCAGGCTCTGGATAGGCTGCGTAGAGGAAGTGGGCGGTCCTAAGAATCGGTGGTTTTGGCCTGTTTCCGGCAGGATCAGAGGACGCGGTGGCAGAGGCAGTGCGAACCGGCGTTGTCCTACGAGATCTTCCAGGTCTGAGCTGACATGGCGGCGGCTTTTCGGAAGGCGGCTAAGTCCCGGCAGCGAGAACACCGAGAACGAAGCCAGGTAGGACCGCACAGGCCCCACGAGCGCTGGCTCTTGGCCCCATGTGCTGTTTGCTCCCGTCACTCTGGGGCCCTGTTGCCGGCTGTACGTAGACGCGCTATGTAAATACATGCAAATATATGCTAATAACGCTGGCTCGGCCGGGGCGGAGCCTCGCGGGGATGCTGGTGGTGGGTTGTCGTTCTCTCTCTAGGAAGAGCTCGGGCTGCTCACCATTCCTTGGGGATAATCAGACCCACTCTGCAAGATTTCAGTGCAGTACTTGAGTAAGATAATGTGTGTAATGTGCCTGGCCTTCCCTGAGGAAGTTGCGGTCATAGCTCACATAGCCAATAACTGCCACGCTGGAATTGGAACCTACATCTAATGCTCAGCTCTGCCCTCAGCAATATGGGGGCCATGACCAAAGAGATTGGTGTTACTAATGTGTCGTCATGCATGGGCTTTGTGGTTCATGAACATCTGCCACATAGGCTTTTATTTATGCCTCTTCCTGTATGTTGGTGTTTTCCATCCCCATTATACAGGTGAGGAAACTGAGGTCCGTAGAGTGACTTGCCCATTTTCAAACACCAAATTGAGGCAGAATATATACAGTTGTAGGATTTCTATGGAGGATGTGTCTGTGTGGGGAGTTGAGTAGAAATGAGCTTATATGCAGAATTGAGTTTTCTAGTTGACTGCTCTCAGGAATCACATTATATATGATTCAGAAAGTCCCTTAGAGATATCTGGTCCAACTTCATTTTACAGATGGGGAAGGAATGAGAAACATGTGTCCAAAGTTGTGCAGCTAACTGATGGGATAGAACTAAGGCCTCTTAACCACTGTCCAGTTTTCCTCCTTAATAGCATTTATGAGACATTTATTAAGCATTTGTTGTGTGCTCAGTTGTGTATTAAGAGCAGTAGTGTAATTTGCCACCTTGTTTGGGAGTCTATGTGTGGACCTATCCAAAGTTAATAATAGGTAGAATTCTTCATGTGTGCTAGAGCCAAAGTGCAAAATGATTTACTCTTATTATCATTTAACCCTCAACAACAGCTGTGTGGAAGTAGGTGCTATTATTTCCTCACCTTTGCAAATGAGGAAACAAAGGCTCTGATAAGTTAAGTACTTTGCCTGTAAACACACAGCTATAGCTGACAAGCAGCAAAACCAGGAATCACACCAGTTCTTTGAATCCAGAGGCTACCAGAATATGAATAAAGAGGCAACTTTGTAAGAGATAGCATGTAAAAAATGCCAAACATGGCTGGGTGTGGTGGCTCATTGCAGTAATCCTAGCGCTCTGGGAGGCCGAGGAGGGTGGATTGCTCGAGGTCAGGAGTTCAAGATCAGCCTGAGCAAGAGTGAGACCCTGTCTCTACTAAAAATAGAAAGAAATTAGCTGAACAACTAAAAAAATATAGAAAAAATTAGCCCAGGCATGGTGGCACATGCCTGTAGTCCCAGCTACCCGGGAGGCTGACGCAGAAGGATTGCTTGAGCCCAGGAGTTTGAGGTTGCTGTGAGCTAGGCTGATGCCATGGCACTCTAGCTGGGGCAACAGAGCGAGACTCTGTCTCCAAAAAAAACAAACAAAAAACCGTGCCAAACGAGGCTTACGAGTGGCAAGAGTTGAGATGAGAAGTAAGCATCATGGTGAAACTTGTTGAACTTAGAAGGCAATTTGCCTTCATAGGCAAAACTTACTTTTTGAGTACTTACTATATGCTAAGTGCAACCCTACATGGTTTACAATTGTCTCATATAATCTTACAACATCTGTATGATATGGATGTTTTCCTCACCTTACAAATAAGGAATCTGGTGCTTAAAGAGACTGAATAGGGTATCCAAAGTCATGGCTGTAAGAAGCGTATTTGGATTAGCACAGAGGGGTTTCAAGGGTGGCTGTGGACATGGCAAAACCCGAGTAGGAATAGAAGGTCTTTGTGGGAGAGATGAAGAGAAGGCCATGCAGGAAAGGTGGGTGTTTACATGTCAGTGTTCATTGACACAAACATTCCCTGTTTGGGTAGTTTGGACTTATCTTTTAGGCCCTTCAGTGAAGCAGTAGGGGGGCTACTGAAGATATTTTATGTGTAAGGGTATATGTTATTACATAAGCTATTTCAGATGGAATACCAGGTTTCCTTCTGTGATGCAGGTGTACATTCAAGCAGACGTGATAGATTTAAAGATTTCTGCCTCGCTTGATGTTATTGCTCTTTTGACTCTTGAGTTTTTTTCCTCCACTATGTCAAACTCCCTTTATCTCATGTAATGAAAATAAAAATTATCAGAGGTTTTGGGTGTTGTTTTAAAAATTGAGTTATTGTATCATTTGAAGGATAAAAAATGAGAAAAATCACTGTTAAAAATCCTACCCAAATTATTACATTAATACAAGTTTAAACAGTAGAGAGGCATATATATTTCCTCAGAAGTCAAGATTTTCATAGCAGAATAATCTCAGTCTGTTGGATGTGGAAGAGCTCAGATTGTGGCCACAGATATAATGCATTCTAGTTTTAGCTTTGCCACTTACTAGTTCTGCGTTCTTGGGCATATCATTTTTTAAACTTCATTCTCCATCTGAAAAATTGAGTAACAGTAGTGCCTGCTTTACCTACTTCCCATGATTGTTGTGGGCATTAAATGAGACTGTGTACCAAGCGTATCATGTTGCTTTGTAACTTCATAAATGTGACCTGTTACGATGATGCAGGCAAAGAATCCAGCACAGACCCTGACATATACTAAATGCTCAACAAATGGTAGCCTGTAGAAAGATCATACCAAGATTTAATCCTTGTTCCCTCCATGCTTTCCAAGTCTGTGTCAGAGAAAGTACTTTCTTTCACACTTTGTTTTCTTTCATACCTTGTACCAAAGGTACAATAATAACAATAAATTTATGCTGGGCACCTGATGTGTGTCAAGCCAAGTGCAGGCACTACCACTTACAGAGGCTTATTGAATCCTTACAAGAACCCTGAGAGGTAGGTACTATTATTTTCATTTTTCTGTTAGGAAATAGTAGCTCAGAGAAGTTAAGTGACTTGCCCAAGGTCACAAATTATTAAGAAGTAAAGCTTTGGATTTGAACCTAAGTCTCTAGACTCTAAATATAGCTCCCTTACCACAGTTGCCTCCCTGTTACTATGTTTTCCCTTTGTAGTATTTTATAAATCCTTGGATTAAGTCGGTAGTAATTTTAGTACAACTGGCAACTGCTTGCTTACTGCCGAGTCATTGTTGCCTCTCTCTGTCCTTAATAGGCCAAGAAACCTACTACAGCAGTGCTTGTGACCTCCCTGGCGCTGGCATGGTCCCTCTCATCCTTGGGCAGAGCCCAGCTGTGGGGAGGGAAGGGAACAGGGTAGTGGGTTGGCTCCAAGGACTGGATTTACTGAACACTCCAGAGACTCTTGTTCCCATTAGGTGTCATGTTGATTTGGGTATGTGTTTGTTGAGGAAACTAAGCACTATTTTTTCTCTTTTGTCTTCTAGCCTGGCTTTCGAAAACGTCTGGGCCTGCTGGAGAAAAAGAAAGATTACAAACTTCGTGCAGAGTGAGTTTAGTCTTTCTGGTAGAAATGCTGCCAAGAAGGCTTACAGCCCCCTGCACTGAGCTGAATTGCCTGAGTGTCCAACAGGGAATAATTTCCTGCCATTGATAAAATGGCCAAAGCTCTGGCATCATGTCACATAATTTTCTGTGACCCTAAACGTCTCTCTTTGTTCAGGCAGATCTTTATTTATTTAACTGTAGTTGCATTGTGAATTTTTTTATTATGTTGTTCCAGATCATTTTGTCATAATGGCTTTGATTTGCCTCTGCCCTGGTGTTTGAACAAAAAGCTGAATCTTTTTTCTCTTTGTTTTCTTGAAGTGCAAGATATAATCTAAAATGCCATTTGTTGAGTCTCTTACATCACCATGTGTGTGGTGTGGAATGAAGAGATGTGAAAGATGGATTCATGAGACTGAGCGTGGGTGATAGTGAACTCTGAATACATTTTATAAAACAATTATCCCCATTCTTCTCCACTAGAACTTTATTTGCAAAATATAATTATTTGTTAGCCATACACATCACGTGAGGTCCTTCTTATGCTCCTGGTATGGGTGGTGGTGATGGAGTAAGTGGTTTTCTGTAGGTCCCAGAGTTTTTAAGATTAATAATTAGGCGCTGTTATTGGTCCAGGCAGTGTTCTAGGAGATTTATAAATTTTACACTTATTTATTCCAACAACCTTCTGGGATAGGTTACTGTTACTATACCCATTTTACAGATGAATTTGGGATGCAGAGTGGTTAGCTAACTTATCCGGAGTTACTTAGCCAGAAGTGGTGGAGTCCAGATTTGCACCCAGACTTGGCTCTGTAGTCCACAATCGTAGTCATCATGCTACTCTACGTGTAGTTTTCGAATCATATTTGGTCGTTTGGTGCCCAAGCATGCATAGAACCTTGTCTGAGGAGTTTTAATTTGTGTTTTGCTTGTTGTCTCCCTATAATGCTATAAATGGCACTAAGACATGTGTAGGATGACGACAGTTATTAACTGTCAGGTTCCATTGGGATAGGAGAGGACTGCTAGATAGTGCACCCGATGGAGGCATGAGCTCAGCTCAGTGACGTGGAGTGGTGGGGGTCAGATCCAGTCACTGTGTCGGCTCTTTTGAGTTTCACTTTGTAAAGTTTTCTCATTATGGGGTGGTTATTTTTGGTTTTTTGTTTCTTTGTTTGTTTTTGCTATGAACCTCCTTTAACCTGCTTTCTAGTGACTACCACAAGAAACAAGAATACCTCAGAGCTCTCCGGAAGAAGGCTCTTGAAAAAAATCCAGATGAATTCTACTATAAAATGACTCGGGTTAAGCTCCAGGTGGGTAGCTAATGGATCAGTTGGTGTTTTGAGCTCCAACTGTTGGAAAATAATGATGGGAGAAGTGATGGAGAGGAAGTGTCCTTGGCCTTGATTTAGTCCTCCCCTGGTTACTCCAGATGCTTTCGGTCAGTATCCAAGGCACACCTGCTCCTTCGTGAGGAATGTGCATTCCTGCCTTTGAATCTGAGCTGTCTTGCACGTGGAGCTGTTCTAGGAGTGGATGTGCTACACTGAACATGCATGCCCCTCAGGGGCCTCGTACCTTGAATTGCTGTTAGCATACAGCGTTTGGTCGTCTTTATTCTAACCATGAACTATGCCAACAATTCATTAATGATTTTAATCTAATAGGGGATATATCTTTTCAATTTGGATTTTAGGATGGAGTTCATGTTATTAAGGAGACAAAGGAAGAAGTAACTCCAGAACAGCTAAAGCTGATGAGAACTCAGGATGTCAAATATATAGAAATGAAAAGGATTGCAGAGGCTAAGGTAACAATTAACTCTTTGCTCTGATGTACTTCTATTGGTTAAGAACGGAAACTTAGATCTGTCAAACTCAAGTTATCAGTTGATTTCTTCTGGCATTTACAATCTTGCTTGGTTGTGCTACTGATCAAAGTACAGTCAGTGTGGTGGAGTGGCAAGAATTCAAGTTTGGGAATGAGACAGGCATAGGTTTGAATTCTGGCACTGCCATTGACTAGCCCTATGACTGTGGATAAGTTAATCTTTCTGAGGCTGTTTCCTCATTTCTGTCTCAGGATTGTTGAAAGACTGAGTTTGGAGGGGCAACTCTGCAAGTACTTGACATGTAGTTGGTGCTTGATGAATTTTAGTGGTCCTTTCCTTTAAAATAATGAAGAAAATTCTTACTGTCTGGCAAACATGATGTGAAATGATTTAAACTTTTTACAAATTTATTTTTGATACCCTGAAGAACTCAATATAAAGGAGACCATTTTCTGTGTTCTAGAAAATTGAAAGACTAAAATCAGAGCTCCATCTGCTGGACTTCCAGGGGAAGCAACAAAAGAAGCATGTGTTCTTTTTTGACACCAAAAAGGAAGGTATGTGAAACGTTTGAAGGTTTCTGGGATAGTCATGCGAGTCTGTGTTGTTTGGTGTTAGAAACAGGCAGTTCTTTAAGGATTATCTTGAATTTTAGTTGAACAGTTTGATATCGCAACTCACCTGCATACAGCGCCGGAACTAGTCGACAGAGTCTTCAATAGACCCAGGATAGAGACATTGCAGAAGGAAAGAGTGAAGGGAGTTAACCATCAGACTCGACTTAAGGTAATTTTCTCTGCTTTTGTTTACATGCGAGTAAAGGGGAATGTAGATTCTTTTTTTTTTTTTTTTTTGCCCCTGCATTTAATATAATTATTTATGGAAAACTCATCAAGGTCCCTCAGAAAAGTGGAAGGAGGATTTGACGATGGGGGAGTAAGTGGAGGAGAGTTCCTTAGTTTCCAAGATTGGAGGACACGTGTATAGTGGTTAGGAGCTGAGGTTCTGGCTTCTAGATCTGGTTTGATTTCCTGCTCTGACCCTGAGCTTTGTACTTTTAATGCTTGTAATGGATACCAGTGTTTTTAAAATGTAGAGAAAAGAGGGGACACTGATGATTAAGGGATTTGGTATACTGTGGTATTGAATCTTTAGCAGTGAACACAAATATCAGAGGGTCTCTCATATTAGGCATCTGTAACCAGAATTTTGTGCTGACTTTTCCTTGTCGTGCTTTCCATCACTGTCACTGGGCTGTGCAGAGGACATGCTTTTCCTCAACGCCGTCTGCAGTTGAACTCTCACTTCTGACTGACTCATTTAAAAAAAAAATGCTGTCAATGTGTTTCAAGCAGACAGCTGTTCTGTTTTGATTTGAATCATTTACACCGCATCAGTTTTGCTTCCAATGTTTAATTTCACAGCAGTTTTCTCTAGCTCAGAGGCAGCTAAACTTGCTTTAGTAATATAAATACCCCTAATTAGTTTGACTATATTGGGTAATCCCATAAATTTGACAGTCTGTGCGATAAAGTGAAAACAAAAGCTGTCTGAAACCACTGCTGTGAGAGTGAGCTAGAATCGGTGAATTGTTGAAGTCTGAGGTCCAGTAATATTCCTCTCTACATAGATAACACTTCCAGCTGCGGAGCTGGCTCACTGGTGTTCTTGTGATCACTCTGTTTGTAAATTAGTAGTATTTTCAATGAGCTGTGTCACTGACATTTCTCAAGTATTGTGGTAGTCCCTCAAGAGGTTAGTATTCCAATCTCCTGAGTACAGTAGTTCATCAACATAGCTTTTGAGAAGTTATTAATAAGAAGGAAGGCCTGAATCTTGCCATTTTTGTCTAGCAGTGTTGTTTCTTTTGATTTTGTTCAAAGCAAAATTATTTTTATTAAGATATTACTCTTGGCTGGATGCAGTGGCTCACACCCATAAACCCAACATTTTGTGAGGCTTAAGAGGGAGGATTGTTTGAGGCCAGGAGTTCAAGGCTGCAGTGAGCTGTGATCACACCACTGCACTTCAACCTGAGCAATAATAGACCAATACCTTGTCTCTTAAAACAAAACAAAACAAAACAAAGACTACCCTTGAGTGGATTGCAAGGGAATCTATAACTTGGAAGGGGTGGGTGGGCTTTAGGAGGTCTGTGAACACCCCCCTCCCACACTGAAAGTTTGTGCAAATAGGTATATATAGTGGCACAAATTTGTATTAAATACAAATGTGTATGTACATTTATTTCAAGAAAGAACCTAAAGCTTTCCTCAGTTTCTCAGATATTTATTGTGATTCTCCAAAACTTAAGGACTCCACTGGTCTTTGAGGACCAGTTAGCAGTGAGAATTCTCAGTTCAGCTTCTGCTGAAAAAAATCCTGCTCTCTGAGCGCTCAGATTCTCAGGCACCAGCATGCTGCCTGGGGACTCTTCCATTGCCCTCTCTTCCCTCTGTGTAGGGTTTCTAATACTGGTTCATTGCTGCCGTCATCTCAAGTGACTGGGGTCTGCGCACAAAGGTTGAAGCAGCTTAGTGCAGTGATGCAGATTCCTGGGATCCCTGAGACACAGGGATAGTCTTAACTCTGTTCCAGGTGAACTGTGTGTCCTTGGGCCAGTTGTTTTTCTTCTCTGAGTCTCATTTTTCTGCATTTGTAAAATGACAGGTTTCCATAAGATAGTGTCCAAGGTTCCTTTCAGCTCTAGAATGCAATGCTTCTAAAATGGGCAATTTTATAGTAATCATGTTATGTTGTTTCTGGAGAAGGGGGGTAGTTAATGAAACCATTTATGTGTTTGGGCTTAAGTGATTTAAGAAATAGTTCCTTATTCATTACTGTCCTGTTAATTATTTTACTGTGTTTCTTCTGCAGCGGATAGCTAAAGAAAGGCAAAAGCAATATAACTGCCTGACACAGCGGATTGAGCGAGAGAAGAAATTGTTCGTTATTGCACAGAAAATTCAAACACGCAAAGATCTTCTGGTGAGGAGAGAGAGCCTTAGGCCTTTTTTTTCCCCTTTCCTTTCTTGTAAAGGTCTTAACTGAGACTGGATTTCAGCTGTGTGTAAATCAACCCCAGTGAAAATGTCTGCTCCTCAGGGGCAGTGGTTTGAGCCAGTGTCTGTTACTCTGACAGTGTTGAAATGTTCCTTGATTAAGAAGGTAATAAGGGGGTTATTAGTCAGTGCTTTGGAACAGCAAAGGGTAGGATCGGGTAGCATATGAACTTTATAGCTTATGAGCAGCTCCCGTAACATTTAAACAGGTTAACAAAACAGTGCATGTCACTCATTGGTGTTTAAAAATAGACAACATTGTGTAGTTAAATAGCAGAGCTAAGGAATATAAGATGCCTCTTTCATATTATTATCATTTCTCTAAATGTCAAATTCTTTAGCTTTGCAGATAATTCAGGTCAGCCTTTCTCAACTGGGGTTCCGTGAGGGAATTAAAATTATATAATTTTAAATAAAACAACTATTTGAACACCTTTATTCTCAATTTTCCCAAGAATTATACACAGCTAGTACCATTCTAGATGCTCAGGGGAGACATTAATTCATTGCATACCATGGATGCCTAGGGCAATAGTAGGGCTGTGTCTCTTTTGAACTTTGAGAAGGGCTAAGTTGGCTTTTTTTTGGGGGGGGGGCTTTTTAATAGATACTCTGTTAACCTTCCTGTTGTACAGACCCTCTTTTACTGTTTACTGATCACCTTTTTATTCTTTTGCAGGATAAAGCTCAGAAGGTGAAGGTGAAGAAAGAAACAGTGAACTCCCCAGCTATTTACAAATTTCAGAGTCGTCGAAAACGTTGACATGTTATAGATAAGCCTTATCTTTCTGCATTGAAAATAATTCTATTTTTTTCTAGTAACTTCAAATCCCATTAGTCTGAATGACATGGTTTTCCTGTTTGTAACCATGATTTTTTGTCACTCTAACATTCGATGTCTATGAATAACATTATATCGCCTTCCCTATGTTTTTGGTTCGTGAAATCAGTCTTATGTTTATATACATAATTTTTCTTATTATGAAAGTTATAGAATCTCATTATACCAAATTTGGAAAATAGATTAATTCATTCCTAATCCCAATGCTTATTCAAGAACAACAAATATTTATTGCATACTTAACTGTGCTAGGAGCTAGAGCTATGGAGGTGAACAATTACTGTGAGCATTCTGGTTTATTTCTTCCATTTTGTAAAGCTATACATCAGTTTTTGTTTATGTTTTTGTGTTTTATAGTTGTAATTATAGTAAACAATTTTATGTCCCACTTCTTAATGAAATCATTAGCTCTTTTCCATTTTGTTAAATCACAATTTTTTAAAAGTAATATATGCTCACAGTAAAAATTAAAATAAATATCATTTTTAATGATTATATAATGTTTTATCCAGTGGATAGACTGATTTTATCCTCATTCATTCTTCTTTTATTGGCTATTCAAGTGGCTTCGTAAGTTATCCAAGGAGGAATTTTTTTCTCTTATATTTTACAGCTACAAATAGAAACTCTTGCAACTAGAAACCCACAGGGGCACCTCTTCTTTATTGATGAAGCTCAAATGAGAATAGACCTGGCTCAGTTCCTGTCTGCACTCCATGCCAGTTCATGATTCCAAGGCTATAAATGGCTTGGTACAGTCCTTCACCCTGGGAATACAGACCCCAGGGTATGTGGGGCAGCTTCCTTTTCTTCCCAGAGTCTCTCCCTTCCCTTCCCTGCCCATGTGGGATCACAGGCTGAGGCCAGTCAGGACAGGACTGAGCATGCTTGGAACAAATGTGGGAGGACACGGAGCAGGGTTCTGGGGGGGCTTGCTGTGCATGGATTTTAAAGATTTAAAAAAAAATTATTGTTAATACATAATAAGTACCCATGACTGTTAGATTCCTGCACAAGCCTAGAATGGAAGTCTGTTTCTTTTGGGTATACCCAGTGAGATTCAGATCTGGGAGCCATGGAAAACAGGAAGAAGAGCCAGGGGAACAGAAGCTAGTAGCTTTTGCCTGCAGGAAGGAGCTGCTTCCCAGTCTGTGTGTGTACACTCTCTTCTGGGGAGGTGCTGAGCTCGGTCAATGCTGATAGTCTTAGGAGACTTGAGTCTCAAGCCAGGGAAGGGACTCATCACAGGGCTGTTGAACAGAGGAGTGAGCAGACTAAGCAGTGATCTGCTCCTGGGATCAGACAGCTGGGTGGCTGCTCTGACTCTGTCTCATGCCCCTGCTGGGTAGGAAGGTAGAGGAAGATAGGGAGTGTACCTAAATGCCTTCTCATGAAGCATACACCCACACAAAGGTGCAGACACTTCACAGGCTCTCATGTTAACAGATGCACAAGGCACGTATAACCCAGGCCTCCTAAACAGGTACAGGCATACCCACATACCCTTTGGTACACGGGCACAAGCAGTGACACTTGAAGAGCCATATGCATGTGCCAAATGGAACAGAAAAGTCCATCCTCTTGGGGTCCCTTAAGTTCCAGGCCAGAGGTAATCAGAGAATTATAAGGGGATGAAGCTAGGTGTTCTGAATTGCTGTTGGACTGTGGGCTGTTTCCGAGGCCCAAGGATTTTTAGGGAAGAGATGGTTGCCCCTGTGGTTAACCAAAGACAGGCTCTAACCTCATGGGTTCTGAGGAGAGGTCAGGCTTTGAAGCTTTGTTGTTCAGAGGGACCCTGGATTCCTGGCTCCTTGGGAAGAGGAGAGAGTACTGTTTCCCTAGCATCCACCCCTCTTGGCCCAACGGGTGGTTTGGGCTGGTGATAGCATCCTGCTGTAGCTGTGTCAAGGGGGGCTGTGGGCAGCCTGCGGAGGTGGGGAGCTTTTCTGTGAGTCAGGACTTCTGTTTGGCTCAGGTCTCTTATATAAACCGAGTCTCTAAAGTAACAGTTAGGTGAATGACATGGAACTGTCAGGTCTGTCCAACAGAGAATCAGTGAGCCCAACTCAGTCTTAGTCCATCGCCACATCTTCAAGCCCTTCTAACCAAAGCAGGAGTGTTGAGCCCTACCTTTATTCTTGAATGAAATAATAGTTTTCTGACTATATTTAGGAGGAACTGATTCCTGGTGTCAGGGTGGAAACAGGCCCAGCAGGTGGAGCTGCTGCCCCTTTGCTGGGATGAGCTCAGGGAGCTGGTGTCCACCCACATAGTACACTTGGTTTCTGTCAGAAGCCTCTTGTATTCAGTAGGTGCTTAGCATGTATTTGTTCATTGAGTTTAATGCCATGGGGGAGAGCGTTCATGGAAAAATGAGATTTTCTCCCCCTGAGCTTGAGATTGGGGTGGCCCTAAGAGGAAGGCCAGGCAAGAAAGGGCTTTCGCTTCCTATTTCTGAGAAAGGCGGTGAAGGGAGGTTTCTGTCATAGAGCCCCAGGTTTCCCGGAGGGTGGTTCTACCCAGACTTGGGAGGGGTCTCCCTCTGTGCAGTTTTGCGCATTGGTTGGTAGCGTGCTGCCTCTCCTCGTGTGCTGGCTGTGGGGCACTGAACAGTGGGAGCTGCACGCCCTCCAGCAGGGAAGGCAGCCAACAGACGCAGGCTCGCCGTGCCTACCTGTGGGGGCCGGCGAGGCCGGGGCCTGTCGGGACTTGAGACAGTGAGGTAAGTGGGTGTGTGGGGCTGGGCTCCTTTCCTCCTCAAGCTCTCCCAGCCTGCCAGTTCCTGGAGCCTGGTGCACAGGGTGCTGGGGAAGGGCGGGCTGAACCTTGGATGGGAGTCCTGCCCACAGCCCCAGGTGAGTGGAGGAATTGGGGGCGGACCTGAAGTACTGCCTGGAGGCTGAGCTGGCAGGTTTTGTGGGGCTTGTGCAGCTAGCTACCTCCTGGGGTCAGAGGGTGCACCCTCTCTAGCCAGCCAGGTCTCCATAGGTCTGTCTGGTGGAAAGCGCCGCGAAGGAGCAGAGAGAAGCTATGAGACAAAGGGAGGCAGAGCTTCCTTTGCTGAGTCCACTACTTGGAGTTTAGGAGCCTAGAGGAGGTGTCCAGTTCATGCTTCTGCTTGTTCTTTGCTAAACTGCTCAGGCCAGAGGACAAATCCTGCTGTTTCAGACTCCCTATAAAGAATCTCTCTGTTCCCTGTTCCTGGATCCATCATGGTCACATTTGGGAAGTCATGTCCAGTCTGTACTGCTAACTGAAGCGCACACTCAGCTCTCCCTGTCCATCTTGTCTGCTTCACCGCTGACCCTAGTAATGGCCATGGCCGTTTCCTCTCCCTTGTGAGGGGTGTGAAGTGCTTCGGGCAGTTTCATAGTCTGGAGCCTTCCACTCCTGCAGGGTGGTAGGAGAGGCTGGTCCAGAGCAGAGCCAAGGACCTGGCTATTTCTAGGCAAGAGGAATATATCCCGGGGACTGCTGTGTTTGGGGGTAAGCAGAGGGTGGGAAGGAAGCCCTTTCCTCTTCCCCTGTCTGTCACCAGAGGCCATGCTCAGATCATAAGTGTTAATGTTTAATGAAATCGTGGTGCCCGGAGGCAGCTGGGCAGCACCCCCTCCCCCCAATCAGCCTGACTCATTTACAGCTTTCTCCCAGTTACCCCAAAGGCTTCTCTCGGAGGTGACAAATGTGGGGGGTTGGTTTCGGGTTTCATGTTTTCACATTACTGGGTGGAAAAAAAAACCCAAACCTTTCCAAACCAAAAAACCAGCTTCTACAGCAGAAACAACTTGTCCCGAGAGCACTGAAAATTTCCCCATCGTCTCTTCTCATTTGCTCAGAGACATTGAGACCATGACGGAGGGGTTAAGAGGAGGTGGTTGGAGCCAGGCTGAGTAGAGCGTTAGGGACAGCCCCTTTGGAGGTGGTGGCACCTGCCTTCCTCTTAAACCTTTGCAAGACCCTGTAGCTCTGGAGCCTGTGGTCACTGGATGGATTGCCAGGGCAGGGGTTAGTCAGCTCAGGCTGGGGCGGGACCATCTCCTCTATCCCAGGCTAATTTGATCCCGGGAGGTCTGAGACGAGTGTCCCTCCCTCAGGGCTCTTTAGGTAGAGTGGTAGGTGGGAAGATGCAGGGTCCATCTGGCACATGGAGATTTGGGGGGTAGCATTATAGACTACCCCACCCCCTGCCAGGGGCAGATGGCCTCCATGGCAGATGGAGACTAGGCCCGCAGTGGCTGGATGGGTTTTCTAGTCTCAGCCTGGCCTCTCTGGCTAATAAGACAGAGGGGCAGTGACAGGGCTAACTGAGAGTTTGTGTTTGTGTGTGTATGTGTAGGAGAGGGAGTCCTGGCCTTTGGGGGCCATTCTGGGGGAGAAGTAGAGACCCTGGGTGGAGTCAGTGGATCTTGGGGGGGACACAAGATGGCTACATGGGGTGGCAGGTGCTCAGGGCCCTGACACCGCCCACCTGTCCGGGCTCTGGAAGCTGCCCTGGTTAGTTCTCACGGGAAGGGGATGGCTTCTGGGGTGGGAGCCTCTGCCGCAGCTGGAGCCGGGTCTGCTTGATGCAGAACCCCCTGCCAGGTCCCCAGAGCTCAAGGCCTGGGCAGCAGCTCCTCCCAGAGGACGCGCCCGTTTATTATGCGCTCCTGCTCCCTCACGGCTCAGGCAGGCAGCGGCCTTCATTAGCGGAGGAGCTGGGGTCTGTTTTGGCTGCCTCATCAGCATCAGTGAACTGCGTCCCTGCGAGATTTGATACAATTTAATTAACCTAATTAAAAGCTCTGATTGCAGAGATGATTGGGGTAGCGCCAGCAGCGACTGCATATTTATAATGAGCTGCAAGGTGTGGGACCGCAGCCAAACGCCACGCATCCTAATGAGCGGGAGCCGGGAGCCAGGGAGCGGGAGAGGGAACGTTTATTTTTGGCAACAATGCCCAGTTCCTCCCTGCCAGGGAGTCAGAGGCCCAGGGAGCAGAGACAGACCTGCCCACTGTGCTCTTCCGCACAAGGTGGAAGCAGAAATGTGTGCTCTCCACAAGTTCTTGGGCCCTTGGACCCCCACAGGAGCACACAGTGCCCATGTTCCTGGGTGCAGAGTAG